TCTGGAATGTCTCCAAATTGTCTCCACGAAGCCCAGACACTGTCTCCAGTGTGTCTCGCCTCGAGACATCCTAGAGTTCCTTTTTTCCGTACGGGGCCACCGTCCCCCCGGCCCGGAGGACACTGCTCCCTTTCCCAGTCAGAAATGGTTGGTCGAATCGACGTCGATTCGACGTCGTTTGGGATGTCGACAAGTCGTCGATTCACTTCGTCGATTCGACCACTATGTGTAACCGAAATCGACGTATTATCGATGTCGATATTTCGTCGACGAAAATAGCGCAGACCAGGGTATTCGAACCCGCGCTCATCCCAAACTAGTCTCCTGACCTGTCGTCTTATCCACTACGCTACCACATCAGATACTAAGATAAGGGATCAGTAACCGTGACTTTCTAACATGCTATGCCCCGTATGCCGCTCGCTTATCGTCCATTGACACTTGTTGAATTCGGAATCGAACAACAGCAAACGCTTTCTTAATACGCAACATTTTGGCAGACAATGTCACAGTTGCCCTAACTATTAATTTTTCAAATAAGGTTACAAATCGACGGGAAATCGACGAGAAATCGACGGGGAGTACCACAGCTGCCTCGGCTATGTGAAAACTCGTGGGGTGTCGTAGTACCGCGTCTTTCATCCATAATAATGGAATTATGAGAGCAAACGCGCTTTGTACGCAAAACTAGTCAAACACGCGAACCGTCGATTCGACGTCGATTCGACGTCGATTCGAGGGAACGCTACAAGTCCCGTTTAAGTCGACAAAAAAATCACAATTTTCAATAATATGCTAACCGTATAGTTGTAAACAGCATTAAATTCACAAAACCAACTAGGTCGAAAATTCGTCGATCATTCAAAATTTCCGACATGTGACTTCCAACGACCACTTTTCGACACATCGACGTCGATTCGACGTCGATTCGACCATCCATTTCTGACTGGGTTTGGTGTGCGGGGAGCGCTATTCCACATAAACTGAGGAGTCCCCGAAAATTACGTCTCGTGAAGGAAGATGCGTTCACTGTACGACCCAATGCCTTGCTCAACTCTCACTTGTGGAATAAACCTGCTCAAGCCCAATTGCTGCTCTTCACTCAACCCGTTCATCCATAAAAGAACCTATGAAGGTCTTGTGATGACTGAAATTCAGCTGAGTGATGCTGGAACATACACTTGCAAAGCTCGTAATCCAGAGGGATCAGCTAACAGGAGTATTTATCTTGTTGTTCAAGGTTATTGGACAGATATATATAATGGTTTTAACTTATTTTCTCCCTTGACTTTGTATCTAAGTGCACACGTTACTTCCAGATCCAAATGTAAACAAATGCCCCCCCCGGCCCGACCGTGCGAGGTGCATCCCGCGTTAGGATGCTCTCGCGCGGTGCGGGAAGGAAGATGCCCGAGGAGGATGCTCGAGGCATGATCCGCTCGGGTGCGGAATCCGTGGCGCGATGCGGACCCGTTGTGTCATGCGATGGGTGACACGGCCGTGAGGT